AGAAATTGATTTCGATTCTTTCATATGTAAAGCTTCAAACTCACCTCGAAGTGTTTGAAGTCGAACCTTTTTCACCTTTTCAACTCCTTTGTGGGAGTTTTGCAAGATCTCCCATGCTTCCTTACTTGTAGTAGCACAAGCTACTTTCTCGAACATGCCTTCATCTAAGGCTTGATAGATGAGGGTGAGCGCCTTCTTGTCCTTCTTCCTTGCATCCTTCAAACTATCCCTTTGTGCTTGAGATAGAGCAACCTCGTCTTGTGGCTCCGTGTAGCCTTTCTCTACGATCTCCCATGCATCTTGCGACCCGAGCAATTCTTTCATCCTTATACTCCAATTGTCGTAGTTATCCTTGTTGAGTTGGGGGACTTGAAAAGGAATCATCCCACTTGCCATTTTTCACAAGAACCTTGGGGCTCTGATACCAGTTTGTTGGATGAAAGATGGGTTTACTAACTTGGATTGGCTAAGGCTTTTAAGAGGACAACACTAATAGGAAGAAGGAAGTGAAAAAGGAAACTTGTATTTCTTAAGTTCAAGACTTTACACACTTTTTTTGGCTTGTTACAAAATGGAGGGCACTACCCCTTTATATAGTGTTTACAAGAAGATTCTAGTCCACACATTTTTTAGAGACACCTAGACCACATATCAAGATATTTTCCTAGAATTCTCTAGATATTCTTTATAAAACTACATATCTTACTTAGATAGATATTTCTAGTAGATATTTATATAGATTTTTCTAGATAATGCTTCTAGAAATACTATGCATGTTGGGTCTTTTAATTGATTTGGGCTTATAAGCAAAATCCTTAAGCCCATATTATTTAGTCCAAAAATCAAGTTTACTACTCAACACTTTGCATGAACTCTTATCAGTAAAATAAATATAATGAAATATATAGTATTGCTAGTTTAGGGAAAAAACCGAAATCTTACGAAATTACCTAATTTTAACTTTACGTGTAATGATTGTCTTGTGATGAAGTTTCTTTCGAGCTAACATTAGGAGAGAGAATGGAAGGAAATAACTTGTGCTTTGATTGGAATTTAGCTACTTGAAGTGATCTTAGTACAAAAATTTGATTCAGTAATAGGTAAGCAAAATGGTACACCGTACCAGAAAGTTGGCTTTGTTATCAAATTAGGCCAATGTCTTCGACCATTGGACAAACTTGAGTTGTATTTATTGGGTTAATTTTACGGGTTTGTAGTGCAACTAATATTGGTATAAAATAAATAGACATCTTGCTTCCTTGTATCTGTACATTAGTAACATCTCGTAGGACTTATTCTGTATAGATTATCTTAATATGATGAGTAATATTGTTTAGTATCACTGTATTTAACACCAATGTAGGGGACAGTAATAATGAAATTAAATTATAGGTTCAAATAAATACAAAGAACTATGTCTCATATAATAGGACTCATGATATGCTAACACCTAAACCGATGTTCAACACTGCTAATATTAGATAGCATTATTCTCATATGATTGTACTCTCTAATATCCGAGTCCAACTGTATGTTTTATAGTTTAGTCACCTTAGTTATAATACTTTATACTGTCTATTTACACAGCACAATCTTTAATGAGATGATAAATCAGATTGCTATTCTTTATCATGGTACCAGAGCACGACTTTGACGAGGAGTTAATTCTCGATCTTGAAACACTTCCCTACCTCTTCGGTTGACTCCTTGCCAACAACATGCGTCGCCATGGCAGCCTGTGTTGCTGCCACAACTGCCATCCCTCCTTTCTCTCACATAACCACTAATTCTTCTATCCATCGAGTTTATCTTAATATCTCAGCTCAAGCTCACTAATGCTTACTATTCCTCTCGGCATCTTCAATTTCGTACCCGCTTCATTTTTTATGTCGTTATGGACTATGTTGAAAGATCTATCATTGTTGGTCGACCACTGTACAAATTGATGGTATTATCTTCTCAAATCCACCTTCACACTTTTGATTAGACCCATTGATTATTAAAGAAATTACTATTTCATTCACTACAGCAAAATATCGAAATCGCGACAAAACAGTGTTTTCGCATAAATAGAGATTTTGTTGCAAAAATAACTTCGCGACAACAATATGTTTGTTGCAAGTATTGTTGCACTATATGAGTCACGGATTGTATTCCTTGACATCTTTCGTACATTCATCGCATTAACAAACTTGCAATACTACCTGTTTGATGCCAAAGTACAAAATTGCAACATGATATTTGTTGCCATATTGTTGTCGCAAAGTATATATGTCACGAAAATCAAAGGGGCGACAAGTCAATTTGTCGCAACGATTATTTCAATAAAGTTTTTGCAAGAAAAAATGTTTGTTGCAACTATTATGTTGAAGTATAATATTTGTTACATATTCTATTTTCCAATAACACATGCTTGTAGTGATATATTTTTAACAAGAAGTCATGTTATCGTGAAATATAAATTTACAATACCTTTTATATATTGCATAATATATTTTACAATATTCAACATTTGTAGTAAAGTTTATCAAGTAACAAATTAATGTTTGTAATTAAATTTATTTTGCAACATAAAGAGTTTGTCACTAGATTACAGTTTTAAAAAATAATGCCACCAATATTATTTAATTAAACGAATTATAAAGTTAAAATATTTAAAATACACTAACAAACAAATAAGAAATTACAAACATTTCCATTCAATAAATTCATTGTTCAAAATTACATGAGTTTTGCTTTCGTTTCAACTCAATACGTTCTTCAAATTACGTCATTATTATCCCATAGGCATAATCTGCAATCAAATGAGCCTTTAGTTCCTACCACTCATTCACATGGTTGTACATGTCTTTAACCTGGAAAAATAATATAATTCATGAACATCTTCTAATCTTCTAGCTGTCATGACCCACCATCCAAATATATGTGTGTACTAATCTTTGCTGGGACTATGTTAAATGCAACTGTAATAGTATAGAGCACTTACGTCTCAAAAAACGATTTCTTTGTTTTCTTGTACAAATTTGAAACTCCAATCCTTGTTGCCAACTGCACTATTTATATCAAATATATCCCATCATTTCTCAACACTAATCTCAAATTAATCGAGACAATAAATTTGCTTGGCTTTGCATTTTTGTTGAGATAATCACAGTCAAAAAATGAAAATCAAAGGAAAAAAATTACAAGAAAGGGAATTTATTTATATGCACAAAATGAAGTACAAATGAAAATCAAGTGGCAAAAAATTAAATTTAGGGAAACAAGGCAACATAATACGAAGTAAAACAAATAAACTCATCAAATCCGATAGAGATTAGAAAGACCAAGACTTGGAGCAAAATTTGTAAAAGGATTCAAAAAAATTTAGAAATTAGTCTATATGATGGAAAAACCATGGAAACATTTCTTAAGCACGTTTATTGGAAATCTCAAAAACTTTGCATTCACTCCTTGCAGCCCTCACTACTCCTCCCACATTCTCCAGCTTTCCAACTCAATTCTCACTTGCAATTTCAGTTCATAAAATAAATCCCAAATTTTATTAAAAACCCACAAAGAGTAAGTAAAGAACAAGGGTCAACATTGGGGTCAAACTCATTAATTATCAAAAAATAGAGAAAGTCAAATCAACTTAACTCAAACCACTTCTCTTTATTCAACAAGACTCCCATGAATAGTAGCACAAAACATCATCTATTGTTTTTATGATGCTGAAAGTTGTAATCATTTCCTGTCCAATCCCTATCTCGCAACTTTCTCAGAGAAACAAGAAACAGAAGAAAGAAGATTAAGAGAGTTTGGGCTTCTTCTCTTTTATACTCCTCTCGACCAAACAGTCCCACACTGATTTAGAGAAATAGAGAGCGTGTGCAATGGAAAAGGCAAGCACAAAACTGCAAATGATAGATGAAATTAAAAGCTATAACACTTATATTTGATTATAATCTTAAAAAATGAACATTTGTTTCTAAACAAACGGAAAAAGCAGAAAGTGGAAAAACCTAAACCAAATCTGGCAAATGTAAATTATTTACCTAGGATTCGAGTTGTTAAATAAGGATATCAAAACATCTACAGAAATTTTGGGAGATTTCCTTGCCTTTGTGAGCCAATTTCTGATCCCAACGATTTTTGACGAGATCTTAGACAAATGTAAAGAGTGCAGATGATTGATTTTTAGAGAGGAAGAGCGGCACAATAAAAAAAAAAAAAAGGGACAAATGATGATCAAGGGAAGGGGAGAGAGAGATGATTAGGGTTTCCAAGGTTTTGTACTAAACCAAAATGAGCTTTATCTGATGTATAAAGCGAGAATTAGTTTAGTGCAATTTTAAGCTGGAATTGAAAATTTTAAGAGGGAGGAAACGCTTTTAGTTGCTTTTTATTTCTTGATATTGATTGAATTATTAATAAATATATATTTAACGAATTAAAAGCATAATTAACTCTATAATTTTTTATGTGATAATTTATAATTATTACTGGAAGATTATTTTAAATTATTAATTGCACACTAGAAAAATATTTGGAATTATTATTTTTGAATTTTTGTTGGAGATAATTTTTTCTAGAAATTTTTTTAAACCTCATAAAAAAAATTTCTCTTGGTCAAAACTATTTAATTTTTTAAAAAAAATAATATTACATATTAAAATGGCATCTTTAGCTAAACAATAAAATAACACATGTTGTAGAAAAAGTCAAGACGACAAGCAAAGAGCGTTGCAAAATGTAATAAAAGAAATGAATGAAATATATCGTAAAAATTTAACACATCATACATTTGAGGCATTTACAATGTGCATTGCACGTTGTCGTATCCTTCGTATCTACGACAACATTAGAGCCTACAATATATGGGGTGAGCATTGTGAAAGACCTATGCCAACATTTTTTGTCTATTGCAAAAAATAGTTTTTCTTGTAAATGATTTTTTCCACCAAAAATATTTTGGCACCTTGCTTCTCTCTTGTTTTTGGCAACAATCTTTAGTATTTTTCACGCATTTTCATATTTCACGACAGCTTTTAATTCTGCCTTATATTTTTTGGTACTTATTATTTTAGTATCAATCTTTGTGACAAACTTTAAAAAAAGTCGCAATAAATCACTTATTGCAACAACCTTTTGTATATCGCAAAATCGCATTTTTGTTGTAGTGATTCTTCCCTAATATCATGCAGTTTGTTGCTTTACGTGATGAATGCTCTACTATCTACGTTAGCTTAATAAGTTTATTGCTTCCCTAAACCAAGACAAAGTTATGACCTTGCGAAGCTTAATAGGTTTTATATTTTTTTGTCTAGTTATTTTTTACTTTGAACGATGACCTTGCGGACAAATTAAAGGGAATTGGCTAATACCCATAAGTGGTATCAGAGAGTCCAATTGTTTGGTGTTGGAGCATAAAATCTAAGTCGACTTACATGAAGAAATTTTGATACAAGAATTAGTTTTGATTGTGGCATGTACAAGTCATTATGTTCTAATTTAGCCTATACTGCATATGACTTTGAAAAGAAGACCAACCCCATCAGGTATGATGACCTGGTCTAAGGTAAAAACGTGCAAAAGATAGAGTAGACTCGGCTACCTGCTCGGACTCAAATGAACAATATAGTCTCTCTTTATGGGAGACGACAATTATGCTTAAGGTATGTACATCCTCATGAAATGTTTTAGTTGCCATCTTAGAAGACATGTTACTACTAGCAGTCGACTTGATGTAAGGCATGTCGTGGAATTGATGTTGATCGCCGATGAGCTCCTACAAAAGCCAAGTAGGGGTTGCATCATAATTTTTCAGCAAATTGGTTTGGCATAAGCCGATGAGTTTTTTTTATAATTTGTTGTAATTATGTGATTATACTCATATGGAGAAGTATGTTAAATTTCTGTTTTGAAAATTGAGTGTGAGGTTTGTGAAAGTATATCGATTTTTTGTTAGTATCATGATCGGGAGTAGCAAATGAGATAAGAAATTGACTTGTTTATTGGCAAGGTGAAGATTGTTAAAAAAAATTGCCTTGAAGAGCCAAAAAAAATAAATTTAAAGGTACCGATCCTTGTTTGGTAATAAAATAATGGTTATTCTATGGATAGATTAGAGGGCATATAAGGGTGTCCAAAATGCCCCCCTTCAATAGGGGGCCGCCGGGTGTCCATTTTGGACACCCTTATGTACAATATTATGTACCCATAGAATAATTCATAAAATAATGGTGGAATGTGATTCCTTGAACAAGTTAAATATGCCAAAGATATTATTATGTTATGGAGAAGGAATTAACAATGTTTCCAAATATATTCCACTTTGGAAGTCGGATGTGGGAGCGAATTTGTTCAATTTCTCTATTACAAATGGACATGGTCTATTCTTATGGATGTGGCTCAAGGGTGTTTTAGAGAGAAGGGGGGGGGGGGGGGGGGGGATGGAAGA